AGTCATAATACAGTATGGATACACCCCAGACATGACGGTCATTCTACTACTCATTCAGACTTCAGCAATCCGATACAGACTAGATACACTCCAGAAACGGCGGCCATTCTATCTCACATTCAGATTCAATTATCGATGTCAAGTTCAGATACGCTCCAAACATGGATTTCGTTCTGGCCCTTACACCAGATGTTTGATTCTCCCCAGTACAGTCGCCACAAAAGTCATTCTGTCACTTATTCAGATCCCAGTTACAGTTTTGGATAAAATTTAGACACGGAAGTCATTCTTCTACTCATACAGATCTCAACTTCAGATACAGTCCAGATACGCTCCAGACACGGTTGCCATTCTGTCACTCATTCAGAATTTATCCCCAGCACACAGTTGCTTCATACACAGATTTTTCTCTGTTACCCATTCAGAATACAGATACACTCCAGACACGGTAGTCATTCTGATATTCATTCAAGAATCAAATACAGTTACAGCTCGTATACGCTCTGAACAGGGACGCCATTCCCCTGCTCATACAAACCCAATCTCCAGATACAACTCATATACGTTCTAAGTACGGATACCATTCTGATGTTCATTCTACTGGTTTTCAACAAACAAATCTTAGATAGCATCTTTAAGCCCATCTCTAGCAAGATTCTACCATCTCCAAATGGCATCTTTAAGCCCATTCCCTCAACAACATTTTTGACGAGTGCAAATTTACGGGCACTCTAGTGTCCAATCCTCTTTTACCTTCGAGTCACAAAAGGCAAACTTGCCAATCTAACTCTTTAGGTTCAAGAAGATTGAACAGGGGAAACTGTTGTACCCCAAAATTTGCCCTCTCATTTTATCAACATTTCTCATCACAAGACTCTTGGAACTCAAGACCAAGCTAGGGTTTGCTCTGCTCAAGACACCTCCTTGCACTGTTGACCTAAATTAGGGTTTTAGTTTGCACAGGGATTTTTGGACCTTCAATGTTCAAATTGACTTTCATACTTCATGTTGGACTCATAAGTTTGTCCATACCAAGTTTCAAGCCTTGAATCAAATTTTTGCCCAGTCAATTGGACAGTTGACCTAAAAATCAGCTGTATTGGGGAAAAAGTCAATTGTGACCAATCTACAGTCAAACCTCATGAATTTTGACCCACATCAACATTATGAACTCATATGAGCCATTTGATCAAGTTTGGACCACAAACCCACAAGAAATTTGATCAGATCACCAAAAGGGCAAAATGGTCATTTTTAGGGTTTTGACTATACAAAGGCTATTTTTGACTGTTTGACCTAGACAATGGCAAATTAAGCTCAACCATGGACACAAGGACTCAATGACATTATCTTGACCTATTCAACAAGTTCAAAAGATCTCAAATGCATAGGATTGTCAGATGAATTTTTTAGTCAACTAATCAAAATTTGACTGTATACTGAAAAGTCAAACTTTGACTTTTTGGTCAAAATCAAGTGCCAAGGGTCATTTTTCATCAAGATATGTCAAATTATGAAACTTGTTCATCAAGAAACCCAAAATTGCAAATTAGGGTTTGAAATTGAAAATTTTCATAACTTAGAAATTTTCTAAGTTATGAAATTTTCTTAATTTTTCCTAACTGTGCCCCACATTTTCACCAAGATGCATGTGGATTCAAACAAAACTTACAACATGAAAGTTGTATTCTGCTACAAATTCTACAACTTTGATTCACAAAGTTTTCTCAAAAGAAGCTTGGATCTCAAGTTATGATTTTTGGAACAAGGGTCCCTAAAACTTTTAACTTAGAGAAATTTTGCCCTAGTTTAGGCAGGATTTTGACCCATTTTCTTGGCCATTTTTCACATAGTTACACTTGGAGTATCAAGTTGCATTTCAAATATGGATTATAGTACATGTTGCAAGCTTTCCAAATTGTCCAAGAACTCCTCAAACACATTCGTGGTTAGGGAGAATCGAATGCTTGAAGTTGGCAAACACTCACTTTGTAACCATGGCCAATACATGTTCATACAAGTTGCAAAATCTGTCCAAACTAGCTTTGTACTTAATTACAGGTCTCTAAACCCTTCAACACTCAAAAATTAATTGCAAATATATTGGACATTGGTGTTATTCTGACCATTAGAGCTTGGCACAATGAATAAATCCATTTTTGGCATAAAGATAACACTTCCATTTACATAAAGCATGCTTTATGTCAAATTCCATTTCTTGAGCCATACACCAAGCCCTTTGCTGCAAACAAGGCTCCCTAATGTCAGGAAAAACTCAACCACTTTGTGCAGCTAGGGTACAAGCCAGTATAGCCATAACATTGTCAACTCTCACTTTTTACTTCAAAAACAAGTAATTGTGCGAAAAGGACATAACTTGCATATCTGATATATTCAACTTTAGCCAACATTCAAAACAAGTTTTGCACATCCCTGTGAGCCAAAAACACGAGCCATTCATCCCTCAAACACCCTTGTACACAAAAATCACATTTTCTTGCAAAACAGGGCAGGCCCTGCAGAATCACTTCCATTTTCACATCCACTCGTGCGTTTTGCTTGCAACCAGTTCCAATACCTTCCATTCAACTCACTCAAACTATCCCAAACCTACATTGCCAACTGTAACTCCATTTACAATGTTCACCATTTTTGTTTTGAAGCTTTGCAGGTTGAGTTCTATAGAGAGATTCAGACCATTTCAAAACAAACTAAGCATTGGGAAAGGTCCAAGGAACATCAAGAAAGCTCAAAAGAACCTCATGCCTCACTGAAAGTTGCTGCATTGCCATACTCGAGCTTGACTGAAACAGGTATTTCTCAAACTTCTATCTCTCTATTTAGGAACATTTAGCCTTAGGTTTGTGAATGAAAGATGTAGTACTCATTGCCATGAAACCATACATATGCTCAGTTTTCATTTATATTAAGCGTGCTAAGAGAATTTCATCCATGAACATGCTGAAAAAACTAGGTCAGATTTTAGGGCCAGATAAATTCTCTTTGGTCTTTGAGAGTTAGGTCAAGTTTTTTATATGGTTAGAATCGTGGTTTAATGCTCTACAAGTTTCATGTTTTGAGTTTTGACAAAAGATCACAAATACAGGAGTTTGCAGTTTGTACAGGCGCGCACGTATTTTCAATCATTCTGGAGGTTGAAGATGAAGTCTGGGCTGGGCCTGGCCTTCTTGCTGTCTGCACCCCCATTTTACTAAACGCACCCCCTGGCCCATTTTCTTAATATTTTGTTATTTTTGCATTTTAATTTCATTTCTGACTTTATTATTTTATTTCCAAACATAAAAAATATTTTCATAATTTTTTACATTTATTTGGTATTTATTTTTATTTTTGCTAATATAAAAAACATTTTAATACCTTTTTATTATTTGTTTAAATTCAAAAACAATGTAAATAATGCTTTTACTTTTATTTCTTATTTTTATTCATACTGAAAATATTTTCTTGAATATATTTTATTTTTGTAAATATTTTATTTTATTTTATACATACTTAATATATTTAATATATATATATATATATATATATATATATATATATATATATATATATATATATATATATATATATATATATACTTTTATTTTATTAAAAAACTTAGAATAAAAATACAAAATATTACATTTTTGTTTTTATTATTATTTATACTAAAAAACACTTTTTTTAAATATATTTCATTTTTTGTACATATTAATATATTTTTGTATATGAATAATATATAATATTATTTTCTTAAGGAATATTAGGGTTTACCCCTTTATTAAATAAAATCAACTTTTTTTTATTTTAATTCTTTACACCTTTTTCACATTAAAAACACTTTACATACATAAACAAATAAAAAATTTTTTTTTGCATAATACATTTTGCTTAATATTTATTTATTTTGTTTATTTAAATATTTTACATTTAAATATTGATTGCATTTGAGATTCAATTTGGTTGTAATAACTTAGGGTTTAAATTTCTTGCAAAATAACCCCCTATCCAAAATTGTACCCCCATCTCCATAATCATGTTGTAATAGCTTAGAATTTAAATTCTCGCACTTAACGCTTTCAATTATGCCATGATTAGAGAATTAGGGTTTGTATGCAAAAATCAAAACCAACAAATAGTTTGACCTAATCAAAGACAAAAATGCATGAAAAACAAACACAATGCTCACTTACACCCCTAGGGTTACAACCCACTTGTTGCCTTCAAAAATGGGTCATGGTATGCATGTTAAGTACTTTGGTAAAACAAAAACAAAACAAAAGATCACAGTCCCTCGATAACGATATCTGAGTTGCCTAAACAAAATGATTAAGTCCCTCAAGAAAATTGCCAAAAATACTTGACACAATTGTTATCATGATCTATACGATGACCCGCGTCTGTCCCGTTTAACATCCTAACACAAGGTTGTTCACCCAATACAATGGTGAAACAACACTGTTAAAAGGGTTAAAAAGATAAGAAAGATCTTTGAGTAAAATAGGGTGGATATCTCTTAGTTACTTGATCAAAAGCTTGCAAAAACATCCTTGCTATTTTCAAACACACTTCACCACACAATTTCAAAATCCAACTTTCAAACATTGAAAACTTTTCAAAAGATAAAAACACCTTTGTATACATTCAAACAAGAATCATTACAAAGGTTGCCACAACGATGGCCTCTTTTCAAAACACCTTTCAAAACCACACACAAAGTACCATTTCAAACAATTGAAGAGCACCATTTCAAACAATTGAAAAGCAAAGCAAGTGATCTAAACAAGTAACTAAGATCCCATGGATAACCATGGATGGAAAGGGTGCTTGCACCTTTCCTTTTCATAATCTACTCCCCAAACCCAAGAAAACATCTCAAAGGTCTTTCCTGTACTTTTTGACCTTTCCTTAGGATAAAATAAAAAGTCGGTGGAGACTCTTGCTAAACCGAAACATTTGCGAACACAAACGCAAAATCCCAAGTCAGTTATCCCACCGTATCACATTATCAAGTACATCTTTTTTTTTATCATAGCCTCTTTTTTCTGAGACTCTTCCTCAGCTTCTTCTGGTACTCCTTCTACACTGGTTTCTTCACTACCATCATCACCATCAAGATTTGTCTCCAGAGATTTATCTACACAATCCTGAGGATTGTCATTACCAATGTTGAAAACACTTTGCATAACTACCATTTCTTCATCACTAGAGTCCTCAATATCAGTCTCTTTACCATTCATAATGTTACCAATAAAGGTGTCCAACACAAGAATATCAAAAGTCGGTTATTCTACTGGTTTTTCTCCTAGTATCTTCTAAATATTATATGCACTAGGGGATTTGTTATAGGCATTCATTGATTCTTGGGTTTGATTCAGGTTGGCAGCATATCATCCTGATTCTCTGTCCTATGTTTAGGAACCTCAACAACATTTTAGACAAATTTAAAACAACATTTTTATAGGATTTGATAGTTTTAGAAGTACTATCTTTACCAGCTTATGGAAAAACAATTTTAAGGGATGAAATCTCAAGAACTTCTTTTGTGGGATGTCTTGCATAATTTTTTTGGGTACTAAGGACCTTGTTGTATTTTGTGTTATTACTGAGGCCTTCTTTCCTTTGTCTGGTAAGTTCAAACATTGTCAAGGGCACTCTAGTAATGGGATCAACCACCTTTTTCAGGCTTTTCTTTTGAACTTACCTCAGTGGTTTTACGGTATTCGTGTTAGGATGATGAGAAGATAAAGGTTTGGAGTGAGAAAATATTTATAAGTGTTTGAGTATCTTAAGGAGCGTAACCTAAAGAGAAAGGTAAATTTGAATGAGAATATTTTTAGGAATACTAACGGGCAAGGCATATAACATCACACGTGTCTTGGAATTGATGGACTTGAGAGACAATAATACTACCCAATACCTCATTCCATTTGAACATTAATTACTATAGATTTTTAGTTATGAAAAGACTTAGGGAACTCTTCAATTTTTGGAATTGTGCGGTATTTAGAGCCTTGATAAAGATGTCATATTGTGTCAATAACCTTTTCCGGTCAACACTCAGATTATGAAGGAATTATAAATTCCAACCTGGTTGACACCAATAAAAAAAGGATAGAGTTATGGTTTGATGAGTCAAAGTATCCTATGTTGAAGGGACTATCAACATGAACTTCCATCTGAAGGGTATTGATGATAAATACCTAGAACTGTTGGAAGCCTATTATGATAATGATTTTGATGTTTACATGGAGTCCTTATACAACCTTGGAACTAAGTGGGTTGAATTAGGGGCAGAGAAGTCTATTAAGAGAATGGATTTGCGACCTGAAATGAAAGTTTGGTATCAGTTCATTAAGCTCTTTTCAAAGCCTACAACACATAATGAGACAGTGAACAAAGTAAGGTTGGTGTTGCTTCACTGCATTACTGCAAATGAAGAGGTTATTATTGGGAATATCATTGTGCAAGAGATACAAGTTGTGATATGGTGGGAGAACTGACTTGAGGGTTTTGCATTTGATCGCAAATGTTGCGGTTAGAAAGAGTCTCCACCGACTATTCTTTTATCCAAAAGGAAAGGTGAAAAAGAATAGGAAAGACCTTTGAGATTATTTCTTGAGTTTGGGGGCTAGATTATGAAAGGGGAAGGTATTAGTACCCTTTTCATCAATGATTTTCCATGGGCTCTTAGTTACTTGCTAGATCACTTGCTTTTGTTTGAAATTATGCTTTGTGTGGTTTTTTTAAAGTATTTTGTAAAGAGGCCATTGTTTAGGCAATCTTTGTAATGATTCTCATTTGTAAGAATGTATACAAAGATGTTGATCTTTTGAAAATATTTTCAAGTTTGTAAGATGTTTTGAAAAGTGTAGGTGTTTGTTTTGAAAATAGCAAGGATGTTTTATTTGAAATTAAGCAAGTAATTATGAGAATTCTACCTACTCAAAAAGTCTTTTTTGTTTATTTTCTTTTCCTTTGACATTGTTATCTTGCCATTGATTTGGTAAGCAACCCTATCTTTGGATGTAAACGGGACTGGCGTGGGTCATCGTATAACCATGATTAGCAATGTTGCAAGGTATCTTAGCATTCTTTTTAGGGACTAAGATCATTTGAAAGGCAACTTAGATAGCGTCATTGAGGGACTATGATCTTATACTTCGTTTGTTTTTGCTAAGATACCTTACATGCGTAATATGGCCATTTTGTAAAGGCAACCAAGTGGAATTACCCTAGGGGGGTGCTTGTGCGCAAGTGTATTGTTTTCATGTTTGATTTTGTCTTAGATTAGGGTTTTCTAAGTATTGGTTTTAGTCTTTCCATACAAACCCTAATTACTAGCATGTTATATATAAAGCGATAAATTGCTGAATTTTAAAGTTACTATGCTATTACAATACTTGTGGGAGGGGGGGTATACAAATTCATGAATGGGGATTGCAAGAATTTAAACCTAATTAGTCTATTACAACCATATTGAATTGGTATAAATGTACAAGGATTTAAATGAATATAATGTACAAAATAAATAAATGTACAAAAAATGTGAAATGTAAAGTAAATGGATATTTGTTTGGATTTTTAGGAAAAGGGAAATTGTTTTAACCTAATTAATTAAGGGGAAAATAATTAATTAACATAATAAAAAGTAAACCCTAAATTTACTAAGAAAAGATTTTTAAGCAAAACCCTAAATCTATTAATTAAAAATAAAAGAAATTAAGTTTTATAAGAAAAGTATTTTTGGTATTTTTTGTCTTGAAAATAATTATAGTATTATAAAATATTTTTGGCCCTTTTTCATATTAAAATAATATATTTAAATTGGTGTAATAAAAAAATAAATAAAACCTATTTTTTTAAAAATAAATTTACAAGATATTAAGTGAAATGAATAAAGTATTTATTAAATAAAAATAATTTTTATGAGAAAAAATAAATAAACTATGTCAAAATGAAAATCTAATATTTTTGTATTTTTTGTGATTTTTTAGTATTTAGGAAAAGTATTTAAGAAAATAAATGAAATAAAAATAAGAAAATAAAATAAAATTGGGCCAGGGGTGCAAATAGTCCACATGGGGGTTAGAAAGTAAAAACAAAAACAAAGGCCCAGAGATGGAGCCCAGCGCTTGTAAAAAAGAGGAAATCAGAATGCAAAAATGTATGAAAAATCCAAAGGGTACCACTGGGGCTCGAACCCAGGTCCCAAAGGTTATAGGCGCGCGCTTCTACCCCTGGGGTGGCTATACATCCGTTAACATAAGAAAAACAATAAATATATGATACAAAACGCGCCTTGAGTTACACTTCATCTTCAACCTCCAGCCAGACCAACTGTAACTTGTTCATTTCTCAACAAAAATGAAAACTGTAAACATGAAACTTGTAGCAAATTTCCTCACAGTTTCAGAAATGTAAAGCATTAAAACTATAGATCAAATATAAGCATTAATTTCATTGGCCCTAAATTGAACCCTAAAAATCTTAGAAATTTCAATCTTAAAATTCTCTAAGCTCAAGCAAAATTAATGGAAACTATGGACATGGTTGGCTTTAGGGCAATGATATCTACATGTTTTGTTCACAAATAAATCATTGATGATTCCTGTATTTGAAGTTCCAAAGTTAGAAAACTTACCTTGCAAGAGGGTATCGGGTTTGAAGTTTGAGCAGCTTGTAAGGAGTTCCAATGGTTGGGTTAGCTTCCTCAAGTTCCCAGGAAGCTAATGGAATTCTTAGCTTGAGCTGAAAGGGCCTGAGGAGTTTTGGAGAAGTCCAAATGCAAAGCTCTGTTTTTGAAAATGGAGGATGGTGTTAATGGTGTTACAATGCTGTAACAGGGTGTGGGATCAGTTCTAAATGATGTTTAGAAGCTTTAGGAACCAAAAGGCTTGAAAACGCACGAGGGAGTTATGAGTTTTAAGTTTTTGGTCAGTTTATGTGAAAATGGAGGTATGGAATGTGATTATGAGATCTAGCTGTTTTCAGGGCATGAGAATTCATGTATTTTGTGGAAAATAGTTTCTCTATATATAAGCAAAAGGTCTTGAGTACATTGGCAAGTCAGAAGTACAAGTTTCAAGCTTTTGGCTAGGTCACTTGATTTTGAAGAAAAGAGGGAAACAAGTTTCAAGAGGAGGTACAAGCATGGGTTGGGTGATTGTAAGTGTCTAAACCATTTCTCATGAGTTATAGGACTTGTATGATCAGAAGAGAACAAGTGCAAGGCTCAAGAACAAGTTTTGTGCAAAAAAGCACTTTATCAAAATGGCAATGTACACTTTCTTCCAAAAATGGATATAAAGCATGTCCATGCATTGAATGCTTGAAATGAGACCTCTAACAGTTGTGCAAGCCATTAATTATGGAGTGCCTAACAAGTTTAAGGCCTTCAAAGTAGAGTTTATGCAACATAGTTTGAATTTTGAATTTGGTTCATCACAAAATGACTTGTAATTTAAGTGATAAAACTCTAACTTCATCTCTTCGATTCTCCCTACTCAAGAATGATCTCAAGGAGTTCTTGGACATTTTGGAAAGCTTGTAATGTGCTCTACAATCCATATTTGAATATATTTTGAAGATTCCCCTTGTAACTATATGTAAAAGTTCCATGAAGTTGGGTCGAAATCCTGACTAAATTATGGCAAAATTTCACTAATTGTTTTGTTTCATAACCACATGTTCATAAAATTATAACTTGAGATCCAAGAACTTTTGGAAGGAGTTGTGTAAAGAAAATTTGTAGATTTCATGGAGATCTACAACTTTAATGTTGGACGTTTCTCTTGAATCATCTTGCATCATGGTAGAAATTTTGCTCAAAGTTATGAAAAAACATGGAATTTTCAACACTTAGAAAAATTTCTAAGTTTAGAAATTTTGACTTTTCAAAATGAAATATTGAATTTTTGATTTATTGATGAATAAGTTTCATATTTTGACATGTTTTGATGAATTATGATCTTTGGCATTTGATTTTGACCAAAAAGTCAAAGTTTGACTTTTTAGTGTACAATTGACTTTTTGATCAGTTGACTGAAAATTCATCTGTCAATCCTTTGAACTTGAGAAATGTTTTGAGCCATGTCATTAGGTCAAAATGATGCAATTGGACTCTTGAGATCATGCCTTAAACCAATTGACCATTTTCTAAGTCAAAAATCAGAAATTTCCCTTTCCCAATCAAAACCCTAATTTTGATCATTTTGCCCTTTTGGAGATTTGATCAAAT